TGGTGAGAACGACAAACGAATCTCTTCATCATGTACTTTCATTCGAAATGAAGGTCCCCCTAACAAGTTATCATCGTCACAACTAAATTGAAGCAAAGGAGTCGAGAAAAGTCACTAGCAAATCCCTAAAAAGTGGTATGTCTTCTCTACATCTGACTTCTTTGATCAAGTATAACTAACCAAATCACTTTATACTTGATCAAAGAGGTCAGATGTAGAGTAGATATACCACATTTATGGGATTTGCCTGTGAGTTTTCTTGACTCGTTGGCTTTAATTTTGTTGTGACGATTATATCTTGCTCCGATGATGTTCATCACATGAAGGACGAAAGTTTATCACCTTTTCACCGAAATGGAAGTAAGTTCAAAATACTTGCATTTTCCATCAACATCAGTTGCGTTAGTTGGATTCGGAGTCAGTGTCTTTAGAGACCATCTGCAATTGTTGCCGTTTCTGAAAGAGCCCGATGCCAAATATGGGCATCATTTCCGTCCAAGCATGCCTGACTGCACAAACTGTATGAAAAAGATGTTCCCATCAAAGCAAAAGCACAGAACGACTGTTATCTCGGCCAGTGAGGCTTACATTTGAGTCGAGTAAGTTGAAAATCTGAGAAGAATAACTGCTTCGGCTGTCGACCTCTTTGACGAGCCAGGTTATGGTGTAGCCGCCCATGTCTGCAATTATGTTGGCGACATCGAAGGACATTCCAGTCGGTCCATTAGGCCCAGTCATGTAGAAAGGGGGTATCTGAAGAGAGGCAGAAGTAGCGCGAAAATGGCGAGATTAATTTGGCACTTTTCATACTCATGTTTCCCTAATCAGCTTTTGGCCGATAATTTACACCGAAATTTCACTTTTGATCCGCTGCATGGGCAAAGATGTTGACGACGGAGAGTGTGGCTATTCAAAGAAAGCGCCAGAATAAGGCGCCATTTTAAGATGCACGCCCACAAAAACACGTTCAATCACAATCTCGTCCCACTTGAGGAGCAGCACACATACAACCCTATCGTGTGACCGCAGGCCGGCCGGCCGGCCGGTTGACCAATTGACAACTTCTCCCGACATTTGATGAGTCCAAGTGGGATTGGAAGCTTGCTTCACACCCCAAACACCCTCTACAGCTCATCCTCGATTAAATCCTCCAACATCCTATCTCTCTCTCTCTCTCTCTTATTCACTCTTCATGTCTC